TATATATATATATATCGATCTTACAAATGTTGAACGTTTTATTATCATTAGAATTGTTGAATTAATCTCTACAAATGACCACGATGAGAAAAGGGTTGTTTGAAGGGGTACGACATTTTTATTTCCCCTTTTTTCTCTTTTATTTTTTTTTTTTGTATTTTTTTGTCTTCTTTTTTTAGTTCTCTTTTAATTTTTAAGTAGCGCCTATTTCTCGTAGTAGTCGTTAATTTCAGTTGGAACGCAACATTATTCTGCACCATAAAACTGCACCGGCTACCTTGACTTGTTGAAATATTTCCAAGCGGACATGGCTCGTAGTTAGACTCATACCTTCTCCTACGATGCAATGACGTACGATTGAAGCATCCCCAAATACTATTAATCTTCTGATCGTACATGGCGTTTAAGTGTAACAAAGGTAAACGTTGCATTATTCCAGATGTGCAGGAGCCTCAGCAACAGGTTAGAGGCAGGCCTAAATACCCGACTTACCAAAACTTTAAGGGAAGAAAATCTAATTCCTTGATGAATTTGTGTGGTAAGAAGCACCAGTGACTTGGAATATCGTTTAATTATTCCCCTTTTTAAACTATTATTATCATGTGCAAAAGTCTTTTTAATGTCCCACCACACTTGTTCTAATTTTTGTAGGCAATAAAAATAGCTATTGTTACACTGTAGTAGCATGGTGGCAGATTGGAGCACAGGTGGCAGTGAAATATTTATATTCACAAACACGTACACACATCACAGTAGCCATGTTTTGTCTGTCGTCAAAATTTCACCAATATATTATCTAATTGTTGTATTGTATTACTTCTACTAACATTATTAATTAATGCAATTCAAGAGATTGTAGATTTCTTATTGATATTGGTGTAATTTTGACAGTGTCATTTATAAGATATTTCCTTTGCTATTGTAGATAATTTTTCAGTTGAGGCTTCTTGGGCTTTGTTGTTGTACAGCACTGGTTATGGGTATATGTTCTCTTCGGTGTCTTTTCAGATTATTGTTGGTGGTTCCAGTTCCCTTTAAAAAAAAAAAAAATATGAGAAAAGAAAAAAACTAACCTCTCACTTTGACTCATATTATTCTGAGTCCTGTATCATATCAAATTTTTCCCTATCACATTCTTCTTGAGATATATATTTGTTTTATCGTTCCTATCTGTTTTTATTTCCAGGTGTTAATTATGGTATCGAGGTATAGCAAATTCATAAAATGCGTCTTAAATTTTCTAATAATGTGAATAGATTTAATATTTTAATATTATTGATGGTTCTTTTTGTCAAGTTTTTGTAAAGTGAAGAGAAGAAAGCTTTGTGAATTTGGTATACGTATTTTGTTTGTCTAATTTCGTAAAATTAAAAAAGAAATGTCGAATGTTAACGAAAACGTCCATAAATTAATTCTAGATATAAAGCAATAGAGTTTTTAAATTTAAAAATGAAATTGTTCGCTAGTTTAATCAATAATCCCCAATGAGAAATTAGTATATTAGAATAAGACAGTAGTATTATCGTTATTAGATTATTCCAAATTATAAATTAATTATTGACAAGATTAAAAGTATGAAAATTAATACCGTGTAAAATAGAAGCTTTTTCATAAATGTTAAGCTACATTTATATACATATATATTGGACGCAAGCTATGAAGATGGATATTTTTGAAGTGAGCAGGTTTATCAATCTTTTTTTCTCGTAAGTCTTAACAAGTGACTAATAATATATCTTTTGAATTTACTAAGAACTAACAGTTCTTCTAAGACTTATCAAATTTCATATTCTTTCTCGCTTGGATGGGTCACAACAATCATTATAGTATAATATAAATATTAATATAAATATAAATATATTAATAGTAATAATAATAATCATAATAATATAATTTTCAACAAAATGTTCTCTATCTTTGATAATTTATAATTGACAACTTCATTTACAATTAGTTGTTTTTTTTTTCTTTCTTTCTTTTTTCTTTTTCATTTTCTTTTTATCAATATGGATAAGCTACGTATGTCCATATTTTTCTATCATTTATTTCTATCTTCATACGTCAAGCTTGCGTTCGCAGGTTCGAGTAGTGATCAAGACGGTATGATGTGTCGGTACACAGATACGGATAGCGGATTGGGTCGAGCAACACCACCTAGACGTGCACCTAGTCCTGGTATGGGAAGTATGAGACATCTTCCATCGCCATCGGGTCCTGGATCCTTGCCACCTGGTCTGATGACCAAAAGAAGAGTCTTCGATGATGGTAGCAGTGATATCAGCAGTACGCCTAGTTCGATGATGGATTATAGTGGTAATTATAATCCTAAAAAGTTTATTCAACAAATATTTCATTGTTAAATGAAATTTGATTAACTTATAAATTTAATTTTATTTCAATAGGTCCAAGATTGTATAAACAGCCTACAACTAAATCGAACCGCGGTATTATGTTAAATGCCGTCGAATATTGCGTATTTCCTGGTACGGTAAATAAAGAAGCTAAGAGAAAGGTTTTAGATGAAATAGCAAGGTCCGAAAGCAAACATTTTCTCATATTGTTTCGAGACGCTGGCTGCCAATTCCGTGCTCTCTATTCATATTGTCCAGATCGAGAAGAAGTATCGAAGTTGTATGGTACTGGACCTAAACAAGTCTTCGATAAAATGTTTGATAAGTTCTTTAAGTAAATATCTTTATATAATAATTTATTTATTTATTTATTATGATTAAATATTATTTATAAATAATATAATTAATGTATTATGTGTGTTTTTTTTTTTTTCATTTTTTTTTTTAGATATAATTCTGGAGGAAAGTGTTTCTCCCAAGTTCACACAAAGCATCTGACTGTAACCATAGATGCCTTTACGATACACGACAGTCTTTGGCAAGGTAAAAAAGTGAATTTACCGAACAAAAAGAACATGCCTCTCGTCATATAGTTTTACACAAGTGTCACTCTTAACATTATGCTACCACGCCCTCTGTTGTTCATAGTTACTATTTTAATACAGGCCCATATTAAATTAATGCAAAAATTGCGTTCTTAGTCAATTTTATAAGGACACCCCGATGGATCGGTGCTGACTCGATTATTAAGAATTGTGTTTGTATAACGATTTATGTGCGATCTTTTTAAGATACCTGCCCTCCCTTTTTTCTTTTTCTATTTCCTTCTTTTATAAGATCGCACACTAATAATGTTATTTTTAAACAAACAATGGTCATTATAATTTTTTTTCTTCTTCTTTCATTTCTCTTGTCTCTTCCCATCTTTCCTATCTTTTCGTTTGTTTATTTGTTTCTTTTAACATTTTTCTGATTTTTTTTAATTGCGTTCTGATCTCAGCACCGATTTTTGTGTCATAAGATTACCAATATCTACGATAGGAACGGTTTGTTGCCGATGCGTAATATTCGTGCGGATTAACTCTCGACATGTAATCTTGTAATCACGTAAACTGCTGTTGTGTTGCAAATGGAACGCATGACTGATATCAACGTGTTATTCATTTTCCTAAGTTTACTTTTGCAAAAGAAGAGAGAGAGAGAGTGAGAGAGAGAGAGAGAGAGAGACAGAAAGAAAGAGAAAGAAAGAGGTAGAATTATCGCATTTTTCTCATGTTAACAAAATAATAATTAAACAAAAAAAAAAGAACAAGTCTTGTCTTTATTATAGTGCATACAATGACGTGATTCGCACAGGTTTCTTTTCCATCTTTTATTTAGATTTAATAACAAGAAAAAAATAATAATTATTAATATTATTATATTATTTTTATTATTATTATTATTATTATTATTATTATTATTATTATTATTATTATTATTATTATTATTATAATGTAGTACGATTGATTTTTATAAACAAAAAAATTAAGCACAGACGAGGGATCATTGATTTTCATATAGAGACGTTTATAGAGATGTGTATTTAATTAATTAATTAAAAAAAAAAGACATAAGAGTGATATTTTGTCGTTAATGAATAATATTTATGTCACTAAAAAAAAAATTACTATATCAAGCTCTTTAGTTCGCTTCAATTTATAATTTAATTTTATAATTATAATAATAATAATATCTTTTGTTTCTTTTTTCTTATTCTTCACATATTTACAATTAACTTTAGATGTATTAAGAACAAATAAACAACAAAAAATGATACTTCGTCTGGTATAGTATTTGCAACTGTTGACGGTTGTATCATATGTAGCGTAATTTGTAATAATTTGTTTCGAGAAGAAAGAAAAAAAGAAAGAAATAAATGAACAATGATAACAGCTCGCAAACTATAAAACGAAGAAGAGGAAGAAGGAATAAGAAAAGGAGGTGGAAGAGGAGTTTTGTAAATAAATAAGTTGAGAGTGGAAAAAAAAAATTAGTGAAGAAAATACCAAATCAGCCTTATGGTCAATCTGGGCATAGTATATATATTATTTAAAAAAATATATATATATACATCATGCAAGGATGTGTTTTTTTTATGATATCAAAGAATATAATATATACATGAATTCAAATTGAACTAAAAAAAATGTACCGTCAAAATTGTACGCTACTGAAAAGAAAAAGAAAAAAAAAAGAAAGAACGAATAATTAGATTGCAACTCATCAAAGAGAGAGAAATAAAAAAGGAAATGAAAGAATGAAAAGACATACTCGAGATTAATATTTTTTAATTATTAACAAATTCCGTTGTCTCTCTTATAAATCCTCTTATAAATAAAAATTAATTAATTAATTAGTTAACTAATTATTTAATAATTAATTAACTCTTTGCGATCATCTTGTAAGAGGAGATAATGGAATATGGGTTGGTGTGTCGTTGTTGTTTAATTATTTCTATTCTATATTATTCAGTGTATTGTGAAAATGCATTGTAATAATTGATAAGAACAAATTTAACACTTGTAATATATATCTCTTGTAAAATTATCTTTGGCCTGACTGATACAAGTTTTGCATTTCAAGTTCAACTTTATTACAAATCAAATTCCGTTAGCGGATGGTGAATATCATTTGTCAAAGATTAAATTTGGAAGTATAGAATTTGCATGCGTAATATATAAAAAAATAAAATGCACCATCCATAAAACTGTATTCCTCGGGAAAAGAAAAAGAAAAAAAGATAAATAATTCAACAAAAGATACGACGAAGGATCTTGTAGTTGTGTAGTAAAACAAAATAGAAAAGTCAAATTTTAAATGCATTAGCACACGATCATTCTTTTCTTTTCTATTTTTTATTCTATATTTTAATTTATCCTACATGAAAGTGAATGTTTTTTTTTCTTTGTTAAATATCGTAGAGAATGTGACATACATTAGTTGAATTATTTTTATTTTTTTTTAATTTTTTTTATTAGCAGCGTTCCGATTATATTTTGTTCTTTTTTATCTTATTGTTTGTTCAATTTTTTTTTTATACATATATAAATATATATTTATATATACATATAAATAAGAAAATGAGATATATGCCTAGTATGTATATGATGGTGATTGATTATAATTAGTTTGATAAAGTATAATGGAAGAAAACTATTTATATTGTGCCATAAATTGAACTTGCGCCTTTCGCGTGTAAAACCAGCATTGGAATCTTTATTAATTGTCTCTTTGGCAAACGACGAATCTTTTAAATGAAAAGAAAAAGAAAATACGAGTTTTTTAATACGATAATATTATATTCCTATAATAGATAACACGATTGAATGGATAATATAGTGATTAGATAGATACGCGCGCGATAAATGAAAAAATAAAATAAACATTTTATAAACTAGTATATATGAAGGGTCTATCTATTTAAATATAATTCATCATCATTATTATAATTCTTATTTATAATTATTATTATTATTATAATTTTAAGTTAAGCGTAACTATCAACGAATTACTATTATTGTTGTTGTTGTTATTATTATAATAATAATAATAATAATAATAATAATAATTATTATTATTATTATTATTATTATTATTATTATTATTATTATTAATGTGATGGTAGAGTTGCAATATTTGATTTCTAAACATTGTTTTAACACAACCAACGTATTAGATTCGAATAGACCCTTCATATTTTTGAATTATTAGAAACACACACACTCATACGTAATACGGAGAAAAGGACATATTTGATTATCGTTAATAAACAAAAACGAATAAAAATTATACGACATATCGAATTTTCTCAAATTTTCTGCAGTCATGTTTCGGAAAAGAATGTTAAAAACAAAGAAAATAATAATAATAATAATAATAGTAATAATAATAATGGAAAAAAGATATAATATATATTTTTCATCATTAGGCAAAATGAAATTGTGAAATTTTGTCAATTGTTCAGAATTAATTAGTAATGTTTTTTGTCCCGTCAGGATTCTTTTGGTAGGGACTTAAAAAATGGAAAAAAAGAAAATAAAACAACAAAACAAAAAAAAATTAATAAAATCTGTCGATTGTGGTATCCGAAGAGTGTCATTTATTATATTCTCTCTACTGTAAATCTATGAATGATATTAAATTAAATTAAAATAATACATTGTCGTAAATGGTTAAAAATATGGTAGTGATGGAGGAGGAGGAGGAGAAGAAAAAGATGAAACTGTTCGTTGGTGTGTCTCTCTCATGGCATGGTCCGATTTGACAATATTGAATATGAAAAAAAAAAATAAACAATTAAACACACTATGCGCCATAAAAATGACTTTAATAAGGTTGAAGGTGTGAGTTGGTTATAATAAGTTCATAACATAAAGAATAAAGACAATGACGATGATAATTAAACCTGTTTCGTTAAAACATGTTTTTGGTGTGAGTATCGTTCCATAAAAAATTTTGGTCGTACATACGTGTGTGTTTCGTTGCATCATGTATGTAAAACGACCCTTATATGGGTCGATGAAATTTTTCCATTTTATAAGATCCGTATAAGGGTCGTTAATAACGAAAGGGGTTAAAATAACGATGAGATACAAGAACAAGAAACAAATAAATAATAATATATACATGCATATAAATAAATATGTATATATATACACATATATTTAATATATGTATATATGTGTGTATATATATATACATATATATATGTGTATTGTAGTCATTAATTTTAAGATTCAACGAGAGACCATTTGGCTTTATGGGAAAAAGAAAATTTGAATAGGAAAAGTGAAGCTATACGAGAAAACGATACGAAAGTTAATAGTGTAGCTTAAAAATTGAAAGAAAGAAAGAGAGAGAGAGAAAGAGAAAACGTGATTGCTTGTGCTTGATATTTATATTTTTCAAATGGGGCGGCGATATATATTATTAGTGAGCTGTTGGATTTGACATTTAATGCATAACGTTTTAAAACACACTAAAAGAACATGGAAAGTGCTAAGCGAGCGAAAATGATAAAGATAGAAAAGAAAGAAAGAAAGAAAGAAAGAAAGAAAAAAAAAAAAAAAGAAAGATTAATTAAATAATTAAATAAAACTGGACTACTGACGTATTTGTACGCTACAGTAATCGCGCTTACTAATAATAATAAAGAATTACCTTTATGTAATAATCGTTCGTTTTTATTATTATCTCACAAGAACATTAATTAATTATAATTAATAATTTTTAATAAATCCTTTCGTTACTGTTGTATGTTTCGGTACTGTTATTGTTATTCCATATAAATTTGCTCATACACATAGACAGTGTCGCATGAAGGACCCATATATGGGTCCGATGGACCCATACAAATATAGACCGGTAGGATCTTTTCATTGATAACCCTTATATGGGTTGTCAGTAAAGAAAAGGTTAATGCGTATCTATATATATATATATATCGATATTTAATTTGATATTGAGTAATGGAAGAAATAAGACAATTTTTATCGTATTTTATTGTTAGCATATCTTGCAGTTAATAATGTCATTAATAAAATATTTAAAACGTGAATATATATATATATTTGCAATAAAGAGAGTATATTTTTATTTTATTTTTTTTTCATAGGTTTTTTCAAGATTTAAAATTAAAATTATAAATGTACATACGTTGAAATTCCTTCTTCTTCGTTCATTGATTAAATTATATTTTCATTCGTTTCTCATATTATTCCTTAGTTTTTATTTATTGTACAGGAGTCTGTCCATTCATTATTTAATATTAAAATTTAACAGATTTGAAGACAAGCATACTAGGAATATAACCAAGGTAATAATGCTTGAGAAAGAAATTATTTTAACAGATCAAATATATTGAGTTACCAGTTGATTTTTGTTTCTTTTTCTTTTATTTCGTTTTTTTCTGAACGATTTAATCGTATTTTTTTCTAAGTATTGCTCTTAAGCTGGTGAAATAAGAGAAAGATGAAGTTAAATACTGAAAACACATATAAAACATATTATTTAATTATTAATGACTCATAATACGCTTCAAAAAGTAAAATGATAAAAAATGTGAACATTATAAAATTAATAAATTATATACTTACAGAAGAATAATATTGAAAAGATAATGGCATCTTTATTTTTCCAACGCGAATTGTTTCAGGATTTTGCGATCTGATGATACACTGCATAAGATTTCTTCTTGCAGAAGGACTACTTTTTAACCAATTCGAATTGTATATGTCCCAAGAGATGTTACTGCTCTAAGCAAAATAATACAATGATAATTATGTATATAAATATAATTAATAAAAAAAAAAAAAAAACTAACAAAAATTACCACATTTATTAAATTATCAGCAGGCCAAGCATAAATGAAGAGTTCTGCACTCGCAACGAACACGACGAAAACGTATTGTACTTTAACTGCCAATGGTTGTTGCTAATGTTAATAAAAATAAAATAAATTATTACGTTAATCATCATACTTTTTTAATATACTTTACAAATAAACGTTAATATTATATTAAACTTTTTAATAATACGAAACAATACAAAATGTCTCTATCAAAAGTCGTAGTTCAATCGAAATTCTGATTGTATCCGAAAAAAAAATGATATAAACGAAGATTTCGATATATAATATGTTTTTAAACTTACATCGACGATATTTAAACCAGCAAATATAGTACCCATGGTAGTCGTTAGTATAGTAGTTAAAACCAAGTACAAAATAACATCTTTAGTTTCACCTGCGTACCTGTAACGAAATACTTTTTCCTTAGACGTTGCAATGTTACATTCTCGTTCGTTACCTGAGCACTTCCTGATGTCTCGTAATACAAGCATTCAATTCTTGCATGTTTTTAAATTCTCTAATATCCCTTGACAATAATTCGAATTTAACAGCAACGTACCAAAGAAGTGCAGCTAATTTACAATCGATGCACATACCAGCTGATACCTGCAAACCTACTAAACTCTGATGTAAAAATATTATTTCACGAATCGGTGAATGATCAACAGGAAATGGATATTTAGCATTAGTTGGAAATTTTTGATTCGTGTACAATGGACTACATATAACGATAATAGCTGTTAAATAACATAAACTTGTGTAAATTGCATGAACATATTTGCATTTGTCTGTGTATTTCTGAAGGATAATTTTTTCTTCTTTGTTATCAGTTTTGCAAGAATTTTCCAAATCTAACAACAACGACTGAAACAAATAAAAAAAGATAATTAATTAATAAAATTATATTAAATTAGTGAATTATTATTAAAAAAACAGTGTTTGTATATGCGCGTGTTTGTGTGTGTACAGGTAATACATACATTTTAAATGTAACTTCTGTATCTAATTCTTTTAGTTTTTTTTTCTTTTTTTAGTGCTAATAGATTATATTTATTTTGGTACACTTTATTGTTATTATTTTTATTAGATTTATATTATATTAACACACACACAACTAATGCTACAATCTTTCATATTTCGTTTAACTGATTTCTCACATATTTAGGTTTGAGCCTAACATGATAAACGAAAAATCATAAGCTCTGAAACGTTTTAATTCCTCTCGTGTGTTAATCTCAAAAGTTTTCTATTCACTTACATCACTGACCTGATTTTTTATTACATCGATCTTCTAAGAATAATTTGTGTCTATAATAAAGATGAATTTTATTAACATAAAAGAAGATTAACTTACTTGAAGTCGAAAACGTTCACGACGGCATAATATCATCTTCAAAGTGATCTGTGCAACAGCACAAGCCAAACAAATTGATTTGGTCAAAAGTATAGTATCAGAACGATTCTCATAAATTGCATTGATCAATGGGAATAAAAGAAACAAATTATTGGCAAATAAAATGTACCATAAAAGTTCGAATAAATTGATACGAGAATATGTTTTTGATGAGGTTGGCCAACAGCCAGTCAAACTGACACTAACTTTTAAAAAAACAATTGCTTTTTCAGGGGATATTTTATACATCCTCTCTTCTTCTTCTTCTTCTTCTTCTTCTTCTTCTTCCTCTTTAAATGCTGTTATAAAACGTCTGTTTATGTATGTATGTGAATGTTAACACTTGTTCATTTCCTTTGAAGTACTTGTTTTTCCTTCCCAAGAGAAAATGGTTCATTAATAATCCTCGAGTAAAAGAATCGTTTGAAAAATTCTGACTAACAAGTGAATTGACTGACTGACGTGTTAACTCCTCCCACTTTGAATAAATCAAAATTTTCTTATTGTGTGTTACGTTCGTACAACCCAATAATTTCCATTTTAAATTGTATCCTTCTTAGTGATAATAAGTAAGCAAGTTAAGTATACACTTATGCATACGGTTTAGGTGGTGAATTCGTATCGATTCCTAACTTTAACTACAGATTATCTCCTATTATCCATGATATAATATTTCTTCGATTATTATACGATTGTGGGGTAGAAAAAAGGGGTTGAACCTTTCACAATGTTATTTCCATTTACGGTTTTTGAATAAAATTCATTGTCAGGTAGAAAAAGAAGAATGGTACGTTTGAAAAATATCTTTTGCATTTGAAACTCGTGAGGGTGTTGTACGTGCGCGTGTGCATGGATAAAATACAAATTTTGTTGAATTATATTTAATAACGTGAGTATAATAAATAATTATACTTAAGGGAATGAAAAAAAACTTGCTTCCTTTTTTTTTTCTTTTAAATTAATTATGATTTTAATTATGATATTTATTTTCTTCAATTATGATTTTTTTTTGTTCTTCAAAATTTTCAATTGGTAGTATGATTGATATAATATTACGAATATATATATATATATATATATATATATATATATATAATTTTTTTCTACGGTGAAAATTAACGTTCTCACCCCTCTTAATTGTCGTTGAGAGTAGCACGTAATGTGGTGAAGTATGAAAATGACGTTGATAAAAACTGAAATATTATCGGAATTAGTAATTAAATGTATTTATGTTTCTTTTTTTTTTTGGTTTTTAATTAAACGTACATACAGAAGCGTAATATTTCAAAGATAATGCTGGAAAAACACTTCCAATATTAATATTTTCAGGCTTTTGCGATCTCATAATACATTGGATAATAGTCTTTCTAGTTTTTGGTTTAGTTGACAACCAATTAGAATTGTAAAGGCCTTGGGAAATATTTTGACTCTGAAATAAAATTAACAATGTGCATTTATATATAACCAATATATATATAAATAAATTTTTATAAATATTTATAACAAAATATAAAAAAGTACCATTGTAATTAAATTGTCTGCCGGCCAAGCGCAAATAAAAAGTTCAGTACATGCGCTGATAACCATAACAATATATTGAACTTTCACGATTAGTGATTGTTGCTGTCGTATTTGAAATACTAGTTTCAATTTTTAATTGATAAATTTTAACAATTAATAAATCGAACTATTGTAAATTTTCATTACTTACGCTAAAGATATTTAAACCACCAAAAATAATGACTACGTTAGTAGTAATTACGATTGTTAGTATCAAATATTTGACCACACCTTTTACTTGTTCCGTATACCTGAGGGGGGGAAAAAGAAGAAGAAGTAATCGGTCGAATTTTACGATCACATATTGATGATGTAGCATTAGATCATTAAGTATGAAATTTTCGATTTCTTTTACTTAAACTAATTGAAGTAATCTAATACTCAACTCAATGACCCAATACCTCATTATCTAATTGAAATGAATATTAATTAATTACTTAATAATTTCTTGATGTTTTTTCAAGCAAGAATTTAATTGATTATCATTCTGGATATTCATTAATTTTTCTGTCAAAATTTCATACTTGGCACCGACGTACCAAAGAAGAAGTGCAACTTGACAATCAATGGTCAAACCAGCAGATACTTGAAATCCGACTAATGTTTGATGTAAGAAAATGATTTCCTTTATTGGATGATGATCTATTTCAAATGGATATTTTGCATCAGTTGGAAAATTTTGACTCGTATACAAAGGACCACAAATGACTATAACGGCGGTAAGATAACATCCCATTGTGTAAGTAACGTGTACGAATTTGCATCTTTCTACGGTTCGCTGTAATACGGATCTTTCTTGTTCGTCTGCGTTATGGCAAAAATTTTCCATTTCAAAGAACAATGCCTAAATAATAAAAATCAAAATTATTATCAAAATAAAAATAAAATAATATACGTTATCATAATATAATATAATATATATATATATATATATATAGTAATTAAATTCCCACACCATTTTAAAAAATTTGTTTAAAGTTTATTTTTCAATAAAAATCAACAACTAATTATTCGATAATGTATTCTTTCTTGTTAAAATTAAAAAAAAAATTGTGGGAACTTAATTGTCAATATAATATATATATATATATACAGTAAATGCACTTTTTTGGAATTTTGCAAATTTATAAAAAAAATTCATATTGTACCTGAAGTTGCGTACGTTGATGCCGACTGAATATCATTTTCAAAAGAACTTGAATAACGGCGAAAAATAGGCACACGGATTTATTCATTACGACGTGATTCTCTCGTAACACATAAATGGCGTTTAACAATGGAAATAATAAAAACAATCCGCTTGCAAATAATGCGTACCATGAGATATCAAAAATAAGAATTTGAAATTTGTTAGCCGTTAGTGATGGTGGCCAAGATGAAGCCAATCGAACGGCAAGTTTTGTAAAGAGGAGTGCTGATTCCGGTGATGACTTCGATAACATCGTTTAAATCGAATAAAAATAAAAAAAAAAAATAAAAAAAAATAAAACACTTGGCGATGTTGGTAAAGGGATACGCAGTATTAAAAAATCATGAATTACTCTTTTATTCCTCCTATTTCCTTTTCTTCTTGAAATAATTTTCCATATTTCCCCTAGTCAATTAAACATTCTTTTTTCACCTGATAGTACTATCTATCCATTCTTCTACGAGGGTAGCTTGATTCATATTTTCAATAAAAACCTTCTCCTGCTATTAGTGTTACTTGGTGATATAAGCTATAAAAGGGATAAGCTATTGATTAATAAATTAAAAACTATACTTCTTGAGAGAGTACTATGTAATCATGGTATCGTTAGAACTGTACAATTACCATCCTATCGTGAAATAGGGGTGTGCGTAGTTATGAAGAAGTAAACTATCATTCAATTGAATACCTAGTAATAGAAAAATATACTCATTTCTTTCTTTCTTTCTTTCTTTCAGTTTTTCTGCTTAGGGTGAGATAAGAATTGTTTTCATCGTAGATTCGTTTATGTAACTAGTTTTGTTCATGCAATGATATGTGCTTTTTACATTTCTATAAAAAGCTTATATTGTAGTATATTTTTAACTGTGCATCATGCATTAAATCATTTTCAAAATATATTGAAAGTGAACAAATGACAAAAGAGTTCTTGTGTTGCATAGTTTAAAATTAATCATCAAATATCAAAACAACAATTTATCAGTCATGAACGAATCATAAAGTTGAAAGTAACGACCTGTTGAAATTGAAAGAAATGTTTATTAAACACTTGCAGATATAATCGAAACAAAAATATAGGTTTGTATTAATTATATATTTTAATAATTAAACGGTGAATTTTTAAAATCCAATTTCAATCATCTATCATTTGTCTCATTGTCATAAAGTACGATGAAGTCGTGTAAAAGAACTGTAAAAGATAAAAAAATTCAAGATAGATAATAATAAATAGAAATTATCAAACGAATTATATTATGTTAAATGATATTTAAATGTTTTCTTACATTCGCATAATATTCAAGAGTTAAACTGGGAAGTAATTTACCCATTGAAATCAAAATAGGTTTTTGACTTCTTAATATTATTATATGTGCGTCTATTGCCATTTTGGTTGGATCTTCGAACCATTTCGAACTGTATGCCGATGTCGCGAGCTTCATACTCTACAAAATTATATAAAAATAAAATAATTATTAATAAAGAAAGGTAAAAATGTTGAACGATGATTATAAATAAAAATAATCTTTACAATTTCTTTTAAATCATCAGCAGGTAAAGCTGTAACATATAATCTTTGATAGCTAGCTATCACCATGCAAATAAACTGTAGTTCTATGTTTATTGGTTCATGCTGTAAGAGTCAGGTTTATTCATACTGACCAATTAATAATCACGTTGTGTAATTAACATTTATATTTTTAATAATTTGATTATAAACGCACATGTAAAAGCGAAAATGTTGCACCAATGGCGGTGGCACCCATCGTCACGTTAGTTTTGAACAATAAAGTTCCGATAACTTTTTGTGTTTTGGATATAAAACTGCAAATAAAAAATGATTATTAAAATTTAAAATTACAATCAGAAAATAGATTAAAGTAAAATGAATACTTACTTTAAAATCTCTTGATGTTCCTTAGCGCAATCTCTTATTTTTTGTTTGTCCGTAGCATTGCCTAATTTTAATCCTAAAATTTCTAATTTTGTAGAAGAGTACCACATCAACATGGCAATCATAAAATCGACGCAAACGCATAATGCAGTTTGAAAGAGAAGTATTACGTCCAACGCGTATACCGGAATTTTAATGTGCAATGGTTTTAAATTAAATGGAAACATTGCATCTCCAGGAACTTCGTTTTCTGTGAATAATGGTGCAAAAGAAAACGCAATGGCAGCTGCTACGTTCGAAACCGCCATTGTTGTTGAAATCGAGGAATGATCTATATATTTTTGCATTATTGCTTCTTCCTCGGAAGAACAAGTTTTAATAAATTCCTTTACCTCTTCTATGAGTTCCTAATAAATTTATTTTATTATAATTATAATATTTTATTTAATGACAATCATTGAAATGAAATAATTTTGAGTCACCTGGAAACGAGTCCTTTTAATTCTGCACAAAATTAATGCAAATATAACATCGGTCAGAGTAGCTGTTTCGCATAAAGGTTTCATCAAAGTAACAACATCATTTCTATGATAATAATCTGCATAAAATAAAGCAAACAATATGAAAACTGCATTAAACATTCCTAAAATCCAACCGACGTCTCGTAAAATCATTTCCAAGCGGCTTGCATTTTGTGATGGCGGCCAAGTGCTGGTAAAACCTCCGGTAAATTCTAATAAACGAATCATTTGATTTGGTTTAATACGAAGTAACGTCATTATTGAAAATTATATTTTTCAAAGACTATCGATCAATAAACACCATTGAAATAAAATGAAATACACTAAGAAAACAATACAGAGTTAATAATAACTCGTTGTACCATTGATGCTGTACGATCAACGAATAAACGAATGAACTCGCTGTACAATCAATAACCTATTAATTATTTCCAACCGAGCAAAAGTAATTATCATAGAATTAAAGCTATGTATGTCTACGATCAAAAGACTATCTTATAATTATAAAATGCTTCTACGTCGTCTCGCGTGACTTCCTCTTATATTTCAAATTCATTTTAAACTCTATTCAAACACGAAGAGTGTCTATACCGTCGTTATTATTTAATCTGCTATTCCATAGTTCAAAACGCGTTCTAAGAAAATTGATACCTTTGCGAATTAATCATTGATACGTTTTAAACGATACTTTGACGGTTTGTGAATGAAATTTAATGAGTAAATTCATTCCTAGTGTAAAGATAATTATTAGATAGATTCTGTAGTGTATACCATCGGTCAATAACTTTCTTAATTAAAGTGTAGAATATGTTTTAAAATTGTTTTATTATTAATTTAAACTTGGAAAGATAGTGTAGAACGATTTAGTTTCGAAATTTAAAAATTTGCATCTATAAAATAATTCATTACTACGGATCAGTGATGTTTGTTAGTTTCGTGCTATCTACAGTTCAATCATTTCTATTCTAACCACTTATTGACTTTGATTAATTTTCTTATTTTCTATTGGAATTTCGTATAAATATATATAAATATCAGATATAGATATTTATCTGTTAAAAAGTTGAAATTTTAGTGTGTCGTATAGATCCTCTGCTCAAAATGTATTCTAATACATTCTTCTCGTTACTGACTGTGCGTGCATCGAATTTAACATTGGCTATTTGTTTAGATCATATTTGTTTTATAATTTGTAAAGTATTTTTCCTAAATATTTAACAGGTCAATTAACGATACAAGTATGCAATTGTCCAGTAAGACATTATAATTATCAGCTTGAGGTCGGCATGAATCTATAAAATTATTTCGATTATTGGATTAAGTATATTTTTGTTAATCAAAATTGGAACAATGGATGTAACATAAAGACTATATGACTGGATTTAAAATAACATTTATACTTCCATCATGAAAGAATTCGAAAATGTTAAACATGTGATTGATTGTGCTGGACATCTTCAAACATTAATGGAAGTATCTGATGGTAAGAATTTAAAAAAATTGTATTCTATATGATAAGAATCCTTGTTTCTTTGATCTGAAAATGCTCATCCGAACAAATAAATGCGTCGATCATAGTTTATCATTGTACGTCAACTTGTATTTCGATATCTTTCTTGTCTTCGAAAAAAACAGTTTTTTCTTTGATAATTTTCTTCGTGTTTTGTACAATTTTTAATGGGACTTTCTTATTAGTCGAGTCCGGATCTGCGATAAATGAATTGTATGAAAGCTACAAACTGTTGGAATCGAAAATAACGTTTAATAAACACTACAAATATAATCAAAACAAAAAAATATAGATACATATTAATTATTATATATTTTAATAATATAAACTGAGAATTGAAAATCTAATTTCACTCATCTATCATTTGTCTCATTGTCATAAAATACGATGAAACCGTGTAAAAGAACTGTGAAAGATAAGAGAAATCAAAATTATCAAACGAATTATATTACATTAAATGATATTATAATATATTTCCTTACATTCGCATAATATTCAAGTGTTAAACTGGGAAGCAGTTTACCCATAGAAATCAAAATAGGTTTTTGACTTCTTAATATTATAATGTGTACGTCTACTGCCATATTGGTTGGATCTTCGAACCAACTCGAATTGTACGCCGATGTCGCGAGTTTCACACTCTAAAAAATTATATATAAATAAGATAATTATTAATAACGTGAGGTAAAAATGATGAACGATGATTATATATAAAAATATTGCTTACTATTTCTTTTAAATCGTCAGCAGGTAAAGCTGTAACATATAATCTTTGATAGCTAGCTATCACCATGCAAATAAACTGTAGTTCTATATTTAGTGGTTCATGCTGTAAGAGTCAGATTTATTCATACTGACCAATTAATAATCTCGTTTTATATAATAATTATTTATATTAAAATATTGTTATTAATTTGATTATAAACGCACATGTAAAAGCGAAAATGTTGCACCAATGGCGGTGGCACCCATCGTCGCGTTCGATTTGAACAATAAAGTTCCGATAACTTTTTGTGTTTTGGATATAAAACTACAAATAAAAAATGATTATTAAAATTTAAAATTACAATCAGAAAATAGATTAAAGTAAAATAAATACTTACTTTAAAATCTCTTGATGTTCTTTAGCGCAATCTCTTATTTTTTGTTTGTCCGTAGCATTGCTTAATCTTATTCCTAAAATTTCTAATTTCGTAGAAGAGTACCACATCAACATGGCAATCATAAAATCGACGCAAACGCATAATGCAGTTTGAAAGAGAAGTATTACTGCCAATCCGTATACTGGAATTTTAACATGCAATGGTTTTAAATTAAATGGAAACAATGCATCTCCAGGAACGTCGTTTTCTGTGAATAATGGTGTAAAAGAAAATGCAAAGGCAGCTGCTACGTTCGAAATCGCCATTGTTGTTGAAATCGAGGAATGATCTATATATTTTTGCATTATTGCTTCTTCCTCGGAAGAACAAGTTTTAATAAATTCCTTTACCTCTTCTATGAGTTCCTAATAAATTTATTTTATTATAATTATAATATTTTATTTAATGACAATCATTGAAATGAAATAATTTTGAGTCACCTGAAAATGAGTTCTCTTGATTCTGCATAAAATTAACGCTAATATAACATCGGTCAGAGTAGTCGTTTCGCATAAAGGTTTCATCAAAGAAACAACGTCATTTCTATGATAATAATCTGCATTAAACAATGCTAACAATACGAAAATTGCATTACACATTCCTAAAATCCAACCGACGTCTCGTAAAATCATTTCCAAACGACTTGCATGTCGAGATGGCGGCCAAGTGCTAGTAAAACTTCCGGTTAATTCTAATATACGAATCATTTGATTTGGTTTGATACGAAGTAACGTCATTATTGAAAATTATATTTTTGTTTAAATTATCAACGAGGAAACAACATTATATGTACTAAGAAAACACTACAATGTTAATAATTCGCTGTACCATTGATGCTGTACGGTCAACGAATAAACGAATGAATTCGTTTTGTACGATCGATTACTTATTAAATATTACTAACCGAGCAAGTATAATTATCATTAATTAATGCTACCTATCGATACGATCAAAAGACTGTCTTATAATTATAAAATACTTCTACATCGTCTCGCGTGACTTCTTCTTATATTTAAAATTCATTTTAAACTCTATTCAAACACGAAGTGTGTCTATACCGTCATTATTATTTAATCTGCTATTCCATAGTTCAAAACGCGTTCTAAGAAAATTGATACCTTTGCTAATTATTTCTAGATACATTTTTAACGATACTTTGACGCTTTGTGAGTGAATTTTAAGAAGTAATTTCATTCCTAGCGTAAAGATAATTGTTAGATTGATTCTTTGGCATATACTACCGGTCGATAACCTTCTTAATTAAAGTGTAGAACATGTTTTAAAATTGTTTTATTATTAATTCAAACTTGAAAAGATAGTGTCGAACGATTTAGTTTCAAAATTGAAAAATTCCTGTCTAAAAATAATTCATTACCAGATGGCAGTAGTGTTGGCGAGTCTCCTTTTATCTGCTGATCATTCATTTCTATTCTAACCTTTTATTTACTCGGATCAATTTTCTTATTTTCTTATATATAGATAGATATATATA